AGAGAGAGAGAGAGAGAGAGAGAGAGAGAGAGAGAGAGAGAGAGAGAGAGAGAGAGAGAGAGAGAGATTTCTTCTTCTTCTCTACCTCCCCTCCATATCTGCCTTCTTCTTCTTGATTCCAGATAGAGGTCAGAGACATGGCAACTATTTCAGGGAAACGTCTCCCAGGCTGACACTTGACATTGTAGTTGAGATTATTGAGGGTTTACAGAGAGCATTGTCAGTTCAATTATTGTGTTCTTACTCTCTCTGTCTTCTCCCACACTTCGTCCCTCTTCTCTCTCCTCACCATCTATGGCTATCTTCCCATGTGCGTTATACAGCAAGAGGGACTTCGTCTATGGTGTCTGCTTCGTGGTTAATTGAGTGGTGATTGGTGAGTGCATTGTCTGTGTCCGATTCATGTGAGTCCGATTGATTGTCTTTTCGTGCTTCTGCTGTATTGTATTTGTGTCTTTCTTCACTTTGGTAATTCCCTCGTCACTGCACTGCCTATTTACCGATAGGCATGTTGTCACCCTCTGTCTTTCTGTGCCTTTCTCGGTCTCTCTCTGTGCGTGCCTCTCTTTGTCTCTCTCTCCCCTCTCTCTATCTTCTCTCTGTCAATCTCTTTCTTTTTACATTAATTTTCTGAAAACACAGTACTGCAATGGCTGAGTGCTCTCTGTTCTACCCCTCTGCCAATGTCTCCGATTGCCCCTCATGTTTCGAGAGGAATCCTCTGGCGTTTCTCTCTCTTTCTGCCAATCTGTCTTTTAACTTCTATCTTCTACAAAACACTTCACTGTGGGTATTTGTTCCTGGTTCCTCCGCACTTCTCCCCCCAATCATCCCCCTCTGCCCCCATTACCTTCTTCCCCCATTACCTTCCCTCGCCCTGTCTCCCCCTTCTCCACACCCTTCCCCTCTCTTCCGCCCCTCCCCCCTCGTCCCCCCTCGTCCCTGTCTCTTATACACATCTAGATGTGTATAAGAGACAGCACACACATTTTGCGCACAAGTGCCACGACACTTCCACACTCTCATGCGAAGTGAGCATCTGCCAAATGGGAGGCTGGCCAGTCCTTTATAGTGCTGGACTGGTCTGGCGTGGCCTGCGTTCA